GTTTTGGAAAGCTCTCGAGATAAGCTACAAGAATATACAATAAAAAATGGGGGTATCCATTTAAAAACATCATTGTGACCTTGACTTGATCTTTATGACGCAACTCAAGGTCAAACTGCTAATATCATAAAATAGATCTTTTTAAACCCTACAACTTTTGTATTTAACATTTTTTTATACAACGCTTTGTTTTCGAGATATTCAGGTGTTCCGGTATATAATATTCACCCTGTATATATATATATATATATATATATATATATATATATATATATATATATATATACATATGTTATTACGTATTTATTATTCTTATTTTTCCCCTTATATAAATCCTTTTTTATTGCTAAATAACTTTATTTTGATTTTAAATATTAAAAGCGATTTTCTTATATCACTTATATTTTGGCGCATGTTATTTTGTTTATATATAAATGATATAAGGTTATTTATTTTAATATTTAGAACCAAAAATTAAGTTATTATACACGATAATAGAAAGAAGACTAATTAAATCTAGCGGGAAGCCGCTATATTGATTTAATTCGCCATTATCAGATGGCGTTCGTTTCAATGTCCTCATCATTTGTATGTCAGTTTGCCTATCCTGGTATGAAGTCACATTGTGATGAAACATGATCATCTCGCATTTCTATCTAGGTTATATACTTATTTAATGAAATAAATATAAATAAATAAAAACTTAAAATATTTAACAGACTTTCAAAAAATGATGTAATAACATTGTACTAAAACATACGACCTGGGGGCTTATTCCGAAATTTGTTGCGTTATAATTTCACTAACGAAATTTGCGTTAACTCGTAACGCATTATTCTTAAGAATCCTCTTCTAAAAGCTACGTTAACGTTTTGCGTTATGAGTCGTCAGTTCTTCGGGCATCTTCGGGAATATAACGCAAATTGCGAAGGAACTAGGAGGAAATAAGGACGTAATAATCTCTACACCAATCATAGCAAAAGATTTAAAATATTTGAATCAGCTAAGATCGCGTCCCACTTGACGACGATCCCGACGATCCCGTGTCGTTTTTTTGTCCTTTCCAGTCCTTTCGTCCCTTTCGTTCAACAGCCGCTGTGGAGAAACGAGGATAGAATAAAATATTCGAAGTAATGTATAATTTATTTATACTTTATTTACTATATATATAATTTACACTATGGGCACACACTGGTAATAAATAAATTGTAGTGAATAATATAATTTTTTACGTAAAATAAAAAAGGACTATATACATAACCAGATGAAACTAATAAACAATACATTTTTATAGGATGGAAATTGCACAAAAAAAGACAAGAGCCCCTAAAACAACAAATAAACAATTAGATTACCTAATTACATATATGGAGAACCATACAGCGTTTGCCACTGGCAAATTATTAGGAGCAAGGGGAAAGCCAACTCATGATGTACAATGGCAGCAATTAACTGAACAGTTAAATAGTTTAGACGGACCATCAAAAGGTATAAAAGGTTGGAAAAAAGTAAGTTTAATTGTAAATTTTTATCATAGTTGAAGTATTATTCCCTTACATTGTCTTCTTTATTATGAAATGCTATTTTTTTATAATATTAGTGTATTGTTATGTATGTATATTGCAGCTGTGATGTGATCAACGTAACCAAGCCAGAGGTCGGGCAGCCAAAGCAAAAGCAGCACAAAAGATGACTGGCAATATTGGAGCTCCAATACAATTGAAAGATTTGGATTTGAGAATCATTTCTATTTTTGGAGGTGAATCTTCTGTGAGCTTACCTATAATGGAAGTAGGACTCGAAGAGCAGCCTGAGGTTTGTTATTTTTTCATATAGAATGTTATATCAGCATCTTTGATCTTGCATATATGTGCAGTTAACTTTATCTTAATATTATATGTTTACATTATGCATTACCATTATAACATAATGCAGTTAACTTTATTTTAGCATAACCTTTGCATTCACTTAGCATTTTGCTTTTATACATTCGTTATTTAGATTATTTTGCTTATTTAAAACTCATGAATAAATGAAACTGTGTCTCTACTTGAACAGGACATTATTAATCCATCAGTACTTTTGGGATTGGCATCAACTAATGTCTCCAAAGAAAATATTATTATTGAGGAAGAAAAGGTAAATATGAAATACAAGTAATAAAACAAATACAAAGTAATAAAACTTCTAAATATAAGCATTTTGTATACACTCCATTTTCTTATTAAAGTAAATTTGTTTTTCATATTTTTTCATGTTTTTCATGCAGGAAACATCAACAAGTGAAAAAAACATAGATAAGGAAAATACAATTTCATTTTCATTGTGACAGGATGATATTTTGCTTTCAACTTTTAATAATAAGAAAACATATCAGCCTCATCCAATATTCAAATCTTTCAATATTGATCGAATTCCTCTCCAACCCATTGATGAACCATGTAGCAGCAAGCAACACAATGTACCTATGTCAACTAATATGTCAACTCAACTGACAATAGCCTCAAAAGAGTCATTGACTTCAAATGCATCAAGTGTAACGAGATGCAGTAGTAAGTATTACATAGGCTACATTTCTATATTAATTATCAGTATAGAAAATCTAAACTATACATGATATAAACTAAAAATTTTCAATATTGACAATAAATATCTGAAAGTAGGTATAATACATATACTTCAGCATTACTCAATATTATTATTATTATTATGTGCTTATTATGTATTGACAAAAATTATCATTGTTACAGGAAAACGTCCGAGAATCTCTGCCGTAGAAGAAACACAACAACATATTACAAATACGTTAGACAATCAAAATGAAAATTTCCAGGTATACTACCCAATTTTCGACACACAATTTAGAGTAGATTTTCTGAAACAATTCATTTAGTTACTATGTATGCAAGAGTTTTTAGTGAGAAAAAGCAAATGGAATGGACGAATCAATATCATCGACGTCTAAGCGACGTCTGATTGACGTCAATCGACATATAATCGATGTCGATTTCATTGCCATTTCTCACTGAGGTACACTTCCTATTTCCTCATACGTATAGATACAAAGTACAAAATCATTCAGAAACGTATTTATAATTAAAATTACAACAATATTCTAATATATTTCCACCTATTACTAGGCAATGGTTGTAACTTTAAACCGGATTGCTTCTGCAACCGAACAGCAAACTGAACTTTTCAAGACATTGATAGAAACATTAAACGTTTTGTTTAAAACTATCTGAGTTCTTAGGAAGAAAACGTAATGGTTCAAAATTGTATGTTTTGTTTCAATATATTTTATTGTTTAGTTTATTTTCTAAAGAGATAATGCAAGGACAAAACTGTAATATGCATTATAACATAATGGAGAAAACATAATGGTTAAAAATTGTATGTTTTGTTTCAATATATTTTATTTTTTAGTTTATTTTTTAAAAAGATAATACAAGGACAAGACTGTAATATGTATTATAACATATATATATAATAAAAATGACAAATTTATAAAAATGACAATTATCCTTCATTACTTATCATTTTATCATGTTTAATTTCGTAAACCAAACTGAGTCCGAAGAATTGTCCTTTGTACTCTTCTCGCTTCTACTAATCTGTTTCCGATATTTAATTGTTCTTCATCTGCACCAGCAATTTCTAACGCTCTTTGCACGGCTGCAACTTCACTCTCTTCGTCAATATCATATTCTTTATCAATAAGATTATAACTGAGTCTTATATTGTGTAATACAGCACAAGCTATAATTATATTTGACGCCATGATGGGTGCGTAATGTAGCACACGATGACTAAGAAGACATCTCCACATATTTTTTAAAAGTCCAAAAGTTCTTTCGATACAATTTCTTGTAGATGTGTGACACTGCATATATCTTGCTTCTGCGCTTTCTGCTGCTGCATCTGTGATAGGTGTCATCAGCCAAGGTTCCAAACCGTAACCTGCATCGCCTATAATGAAATAGACATTTTTACGTATATTATTAGGTAAAGAAATATAAAATAACAATTATTATATTTACCCAAAAGCCATGTTGATCGATCTCCGGAATCATATAATTGTTGCATAAAATCCCTTACGGCAGAATGTCTCCATATAAAGTTATCGTGGACACTTCCAGGAAATCTGGCATTGATATTTAAGATTTCCAAATCGTGTGACGCTATCTTATTATAAATAATACAAGCATTAAGTTTCTTTTTGAAATGTATTTAGTACATTATATATTATGTATTTCTGTTGTAAGTCTACTTACTGCCTGAACATTAATGGAATGAAAACCTTTATGGTTTAAATATGATTCCTCGTGATGTGTTGGTCTTACAATAGCAACATGAGTGCAATCTATGCAGCCTATTACTCCTTTAAAATTTCTTTCCTTTTGAAATCTGTAAAAACATATTGTAAACAATATCATAAAACAATTATGGCAAAAACTATTGGGTGTACAACTTAGTTCGGTCCGTTTTCAAAAGATGGCTCTAGGTGCTATAAATGGTTGACGGCGACAGCTGATTTTTGCTGTATCGTGAAGTGTCAACATCTGTCAACCAAATATTGTTTACAAGCCTTTGAGTTTTGCACAACAAGTTTAATTTTTACTGCGTTGAAAATGTCGAGTTTCGTTCCAAATAAGCACCATTTGCGGGAAGTTTTGATTTTCTGTTTCAATTGGAAGAAAAGTGCAGCTGAAGCGCATCGAATGCTTGTGGAAGTTTATGGTGAATCTGCACCGTCGGATAAATCTTGCAGAGAATGGTTTCGACGATTTCAAAGTGGTGATTTTAGTGTTGAAGACAAAGAGCGTTCGGGTCAACCGAAAAAGTTTGAAGATGAAGAATTAGAAACATTACTCGATCAAGATTCGTGTCAAACGCAAAAAGAGCTCGCAAGAACATTGGAAGTTACTCAACAAGCTATTTCGAAACGACTCAAAGCCGCGGGATACATCCAAAAGCAAGGAAATTGGGTCCCATACGAATTGAAACCGAGAGATATCGAACGACGATTTTGCATGTCCGAAATGTTGCTTGAACGGTACAAAAAGAAGTCTTTTCTGCATCGAATCATTACCGGGGACGAAAAATGGATTCACTACGACAACCCGAAACGCAAAAAATCATATGTAAAATCCGGCCAACCGGGGACATCAACGCCGAAGCCTAATATCCATGATGCAAAGGTAATGCTCTGTATTTGGTGGGATCAGAAGGGTGTGATCCACTATGAGCTGCTAAAACCTGGTCAAACCATCACGGGAGACTTCTACAGGCGACAATTGATCCGTTTAAAGCGAGCTATAGCCGAAAAACGTCCAGAATATGCGACCAGACACGAGTCCATAATCTTTCACCATGACAACGCTCGGCCTCATGTTGCTGTTCCGGTTAAAAACTATTTGGAAAATAGCGGATGGGAAGTTCTGGCTCACCCGCCTTATAGCCCAGACCTTGACCCTTCCGACTATCATTTGTTTCGATCGATGCAGGACGCTTTGACTAGAATACACTTCACTTCAGAACAGGGTATCAAAAATTGGCTCGATTCATTCTTGGCTTCAAAAGATGAACGCTTCTTCCGCGACGGAATCCATAAATTGCCAGAAAGATGAGAAAAAGTAGTGGCTAGCGATGGACAATATTTTCAATAATGTATTAATTCATTTTATCATTCAAATAAATGCGTTTTTCAAGCAAAAAAACGGACCGAATTAAGTTATACACCCAATATAATTCAATTTGTGTGTGTGTGAATAAATAATTTTTTTATTTAAAGTATTTTTAAGAAAATATCCGTTAAGAGAGTAGTGTGCAATCATACATAAATTACTTCAATTTCATGTTAGTATTATACGTTATGTTTTCTTCAGAAAAATAATATTTGTTTGTAGTCAGAGTTAAATTTTAATGGTCTTTTATAATTGTAAAAGAATATTACCTTTCTTTTAAAGCTGCTCGTTTTTCATCTGTATTTGGGAATTTGATCCACTCATTGGCAAGCAATTGTGTAATACCCATCGCTACTGCTTTTATTGCTCTGCTAGTAGCTGGTTGTGATACAGATATCAGGTAATCATTACCAATACCTTTTTGATAGGAGCCTATAGCAAAGAAACGCAGTGCAGCTAGTACCTGTAAGTATTATAATTACTAACATATAGTTTTTTATTACATTAAGTATTTCAACAAAATCAGTATTAAATAATATAAATTGTACACACAGTCGTAGACAATAAAATTGTTCGTTATGTTCAATGCAGTTCAGAACGAAGTTAATAGTCTAAGAAAATTTGTTTTGAAAACTGTTCAACAAATATTCTCTCGTTGGACCATTAATTGCGTTCCGCTAGATTTCATCTAAATATAGCGGACAACTGTAGTGTTTACGATGTGTGTATTTCATAGCTTTATTCAAATTTATATAATTACCTGTGTTTCTACACTTAACCCTTTTCTTCCTTTACGTTGTAAAATACACTGAAGTGAATAACATATATAAATAACTGCTTCCTTTGATAGGCGAAACACTTTTATAAACTAGATTTGAGGCTTTCACGGCCATTGATACAATGTCTAGATATAGCTTCCGGAATGGAGCCGTGTCTTGAATCAGCGATATGCCGACGTTTCGCAAACGTTGCAGTTTGCATCATCAGGGCTGAGAACTCTGATACTGAGCTCCCTTGGGTAAAGGTAGTCCTTATATGCCCCCCTCCCCCCCCCCTTTGTGTAGATGGTGTTTAGGGAGTAGGGGGACGAGGCTTGAATCCAGCCAATCAGCGTATTTTAATTGATCAGCTGGTCAATTAAAAAACCGGGAGGGCAGTATGCCAAATAGAGTTTACTTGCATACCTTTGTCTCGGTTGAGGTTGTTGGGATGTTTCAAAATTTCTAGACCTTCACGATGTTTTCTGGCAAAATAACTCTGTGAGGGAGCCAATCTGGTGGCTTTTTCATATTGTACGGAGTGTCCAGTCTCCATCCAGTGTTCAGCTAGGGCTGATTGAGTAAAGTGACCATACTTGGTACATCGCTGGTGTTCCTTGATTCGCGTACTGATCTTCCTCCCGGTTTCTCCTATATAAACTTTACCACAAGAGCAAGGGATCTTATATACACCTGATGTTTCTAGGCATGATTTCTGATCCTTCGGATTTGGGAGTAAATGGGAGAGCTTCCTATGAGGTTTGAAGATTACTTTGATTTTGTGTTTACCCAAAATCCTGCTGATAGGTTCTGTTATGCCCTGGAGATATGGAAGGACAGCCGTTTTTCTCTTTTCTCTCTCTTCATCTAGTGTGTCAGTGTGTTTAGGACTGACAATTCTGTTCTTCTGGTTTTTTATTACTTGCGAGATGCTTTTGCTGTTGTATCCATTTTTAGTTAAGGCTGTACTGAGGTGTTCTAGTTCTCCATTCAGAGAAGATGGTTCCGAAATTGTGAGCGCTCTGTAAACCAATGAACTTATGACAGAATTCTTTTGCGAGGGATGATGATGAGAGGTTGCATGTAGATATCGGTCCGTGTGTGTTGGTTTTCGGTAGACCTGGTGACCTAAGGTGCCATCTTGGTTCTTTTGGACTAGCACATCCAGGAAGGGTATTTGATTATTTTGTTCCACTTCCATTGTGAACTGAATACTGGGATGTTGTGAATTGAGAAACCCGAGAAACTGAGAAAGAGTTTCCCTGCCATGATTCCAAATTACGAAAGTATCGTCCACATACCGAAACCATGTGGATGGTTTCAGTGGTGCGTTCCTCAAAACTTTATTCTCAAAGTGTTCCATAAAGATGTTTGCAATGATAGGAGATATAGGAGATCCCATCGCCGCTCCAGAGGTTTGTTCGAAAAACTCTCCTTGGAACTGAAAATAGGTTGAAGTTAAGCAGTGTTCTATTAGTGGGAAGAGGTTGGCAGGAATTTCCTCGGAATTCTTGATGATGTTCAAAGTATCCTGGACTGGAACATTGGTAAACAGTGAGACTACATCAAAACTCACCAGGATATCATTAGTATTCATCTTGATTTTTGTGATCTTATTCACGAAATCTGTTGAATTCTTGATATGGGAATCATTGAGACCAGTAAGTTTCTGGAGGGATTTGGTGAGATAGCGGGCTAACTGGTAGGTAGGTCAAAAATCTCCAATATTGCTGACAATGGGGCGTAAGGGCACTGATTCCTTGTGGATTTTTGGAAGACCGTAGAGTCTAGGTGCTGAAGAATCTTGAGGGGTTAAATACTTGATAGTTTGAAGAGGGAGACCTGCATTTTTCAGAAGAGAAGATGTTTTCTTCTCTATGCTGGATGTTGGGTTGCGTTTGAGTTTCCTGTAGACTTTTTGGTCTGAGAGTAAACTGTTGATTTTACTGCAATAGTCTTCCCTGTTCATAACTACAGTAGCGTTCCCTTTGTCTGCTGGTAAAATTAGGATCTTGTTGTTTTGTTTCAGACCGTGGAGAGCTCGGAGTATATAATCACGGAGAAATATAATCACATGTTACAAATTATACCTTTTTAAATTATTATGAAGAAATGTTTATTATTCTGTTTTCTAATTGTTAAGGTTTTAGCAACATTAAGTTTTTTAAGTTCGGAATCTTATCAAAGAAAAGTTGGCCAAGATTTTTTATGTTTATGTGCCAGGTATCCGTTAGTGGAGCTATACATGAAATTATGTATGCAATAAATGCCATTATGTCATAATAGATAAAATTTCCTGTGCAAGCTAATGAAATTGAAGCAATCCGATAACAGTGAGTTATGAAAATTATTTTCTATATTTTTAAACATTAAACAAGTTTTTTAATTTCTTTAATTATACGATTTTTATTAAGATGTAAGAACATTTGCAACATAAGAAATTGTTTATGTTACAACGAAACCTTATTTCGAAATTAGTTTTAGCGTATTGTAAATTGTTACTAATGGCAAATTCGATTGAATGCATTAGTGCATAATGAGTGTACACTAAATTTGTTTATAATTCGTTCTTATATTTAAAAATTACTTTAAATATATCAAATACTCAGTCAGCAAAATTATCTGCAGCATCCGTACGAATTGTTTTATTGGTTAAGAAGTTTTTGAAGATATATTTAAAACGACCTTAAGAATAAGAAAGTGAACAAACTTTAGTGTGTACTCAGTGCACACTGGTGCATTCAATCGAATTCGCCATATGATGATTGCGTCCCAAAATTCACTGCCAGTACTGAAAATCTATAGTTCATGTTACGTATGCTATAAAATTTCTGCACTGGCAGTGAATTTCGGAACATAGCCATTTTTATCACCAAATGAAGAAAGTTATTCACCAAATCACTAAAAGATCTTAAAAATTCCTAAAATGGTGAAAAATCACCAACAACGGCAACCCTGGTCAGCTGTTTGCGAGTTTGGACCGGCGGTATCGATTTAGAAATTGACGGGCGATCAGCTGGGCAACGGTGGAGTAAACAAGGAGAAGAAGAGTCGCGCACGAGCTACCGTCACGAGCTGATGTGTGTTATTCGGTCACGATCTTTGTACGATCTTTGATATTTGTACGATTCTGAGGAATGAGAGTTCGTGTTTGTAAAACCGCTGTACATAAAGCTTTGCATTTTTATAACTCAACATGTTCTCATTTACCCCGTGCGGCGGAAACCAAACTCGCAAGAGTGCGACAATTTTGGGGGTTCGTCCGGGATCTGACGAAAATCCGACGGCCAACGAAACGCGACAGCGATCGTAAACGTCTCGGGAGTGATAGTAGATGGTGAGGCGGTGAGTGGCTCAGCGAGTTACAAGGAAGAGGCAGCATTTGAACGAGATAGCGTTAATGGAGATTGGATGTTCCTTGAGCGCGGAGGCGGTAACGGTGCAAGGTCTGATGGAGGAGCTGCGGCAACTCCGTGCTGACAGGGAGCGAGAGCGACAGGAGCTGCAGGAACTGGGAGCGGTGCACTTGGACACGGTGCATTTGGACACAGCTAATCACAGCACCGTGTGATTAGAGACATTTGTAGGGTCCCTTGGAACAGCGACTTGTGATTGGACTGTGTCCAATTGCTCCGTGTCCAACTGGTATACACCCGCAGGAACTTCGTAGTCGGCTGAGCGCAAGCGGAGAATGCAGCTAACTCGCTCCCAAAATAAAGTTAAAGCCCGATATTTATGACGGAACAGTTCCGTGGCGCAATTTTATCGGTTTGAGATGATAGCGCGGGCAAACGGATGGAAAGATTCGATTAAGTTGTGTAGTTGGCTGCTTATTTGCGGGGAAAAGCGCATTCAGTTTTAGATTCATGGGATGAGGGAATGAGTTATGGGGAATTAAAAAACAGAAATTAAGGTTCGGAGATCGGGAAAACATTCAGTTCTCAAATCGGAGACAAAAATTTGGAGAAGATTTTGTTTCGTTACGTGGGGATTTGGAGAAATTAGCCTGTTTGGCATATCCGGAATATTCAGTGGAAATTCGGGATAAAATTTCTTGTACGCAATTCTATACTATAGAAGGAGGAGGCGTATTATATGGCGGCGGGACGCTGTACATTCGAGATCTACGTATCTTTTCATTCCAGAGAAAGAAAAATATCAAGAGTGCGGTTTTGCTAGGCCGGGACTCGAACCCAGGTCTTTCGCTTGCCGGACGACTGCTCTAAACTATTGAGCTCACGATACTCCCCTCTCCCTAGATAACGCTCAGAGATGCCATTCGGAAGCGACATCTTTAGCGCGATACCGAGCGCACTGCAACTACAGAGAAAAACAATGTTACTGTACCAAATGGTACAGCTGTCAGTCTCTCAAAGTCAAAGGTTGCTATCCTTTAAGACCTGCTATCCATGTATGCCCGTCTCCACCGTTGCCCCTCCTCAACCGGTGCAAATAATGCAAATAAGCCTCGGAGTCGACACCAATTTTTTGGCTTTAGCTGACGGATTTATAAAACGGCCACTGCAATTATGCAGTGCAAAATATAATGTCTTTAAGGACCGTAATTGAGCGAGCCATGACGGTTTCAAGCTATTTAGAAGATCAGTTTTCCTCGTAAAAATAGTAGATTTTTGGAACAAAAATTCGAGTTTCCATAGAGGATGGAGTTGTTTAATTTGCAAAAGGATTTTGTTCAGGAAAATATAAAGGGGGATTTAAACGCGAAAAGAAATATTGGATCAGTTATTTCGGCGAAAAATGGATACAGTAGAAAAACTTCAATAATTTTTTTCAAAATAGAAAGCCACATGCCATGAATGGTAAAAGGGAATGCTGGAATTGTGGGAAAAATGACATTTTCGGGCGGAATGTCCAGCTTTTAAAATTAATGTACAATCAAACTAAATTTTGCCGAGTTAACCGGGGACGATTCAGCAAGAGGAAATAGGACTCTAGATATTGGGGGAAAAATTAGCATTAGACGCATTAGTTTTCCTTTATTTGAATATCCGCGAAAATTGAATGGAGAATGTTGTAAATAAATAAATACAGAGAAGGTTGTAAATAAATAAATATGGAGAAGGTTGTAAATAAATAAATACGGGTTCAGACGTGTCATTAGTTAGTGAAAACTTTGTTAAAGAATGTGAAGTGAGTGTAATGAAAAATTATTCTGATTTATCCGACGGGGGGAAGAGTTCCAAAAAGGATGTCGAGAATTAGTACAAGTCATGCAA